TCCCTCGCTCATTCCTCCCCCTGCACACACACACCGGCCCCTGGTCGGCAGAGCGTGGCCTCTGGGGCTCCCAGGAGATGAGACAAGGACCGCTTGCCGGTGTGGGGCCTGCAGGCTGGGCACGGCCTCAGCACACGGGCAGCCACCTCAGCCTGAGTCAGAGGGAAACCAGGGCCGGCACTGGGACGTCGCAGCCCTCACCCCGCCCAGGCTCCTTACAGGGAAAGTGGCCTCCGGGCGGGGCTTCCCCCTTTGCAGCTGGGGTGCAGCCACCTAGAACCCTGGGACCCCCAGGGGGGTTGGGACTTTCCCCTCTGGGAGCCTCAGCTTCCTGTTCTGCAGAAGGGGCAGCCTTGCCCGGCCCTGATGCCTCCCGGGTGCTGGGGAGGAGCAGAGACTGCAGTGGGTGGGGGTCTCCGTGGCCTGGAAGCTGGGTGGGTGTCACCACCGCGGGCTCTCTGCCTCAGTGCCCTTGGATCAGCCTGGGTCCCAAATCCCACCCAGGGCACTGCTGGTCACCTGCGAAATTGCTTAACCTCCCTGGGCCTCTGGGCGGGAAGACCCACAGTCCTGTCAGATGCTGAATTGATGCCACCGAGGTCACCAGCGCCCCGGCAAGTCCAGGGTGCTCAGGAAGTGGAGGCGAGGCCGTTGCTGTCCCATGCTCTGATTCCCGTCTCCACTCAGCCCCATGCTTTCCATGAGGGAGGATGCCAGTCAAGGTCACAGTGGGTCGGCACTCTGCCCCACACCCACTGCCCGCCTGGAAGCCCCTCCCGTCTGGGCAAAGGCCACTGAGCCTCCCAGGCCTTGGGGGCCACCCCGGGGTCCCAAGACTGCCTTGGGAGGCCTGGAGACTCAGCCCATCCTGCTCCTCAGAAGCATCGGGGGAGACTGGCTATTTCCTCTGTGTTCCCTGGGATGTGTCAGGGGCAGAGCCCCAGGGGAGTCCTGAGGGCAGGAGAGGTGGACTTCACCCTGGAGAAGTTCCGGTGCAGCATGGGGCAGCCAGAGATGGGCATGAGGGAACTCCGCCCACCAGCCGTCACCCTACGGTGCCCTGTGCCTTGTGCCGGGAACGCAGCCCGGGAGACAGGCAGGGTCCCTGCCTGGGGCTGCTCCCCCCGGGGAACCAGCCCACAGCAACTGCAACCCAAGGGGCCAATGCTGGGATGGAGGCATGCAGCCTGGAATGGGGTGCTTCCTGAGGGCTCTGAGGGTTGGGTAGGAGCCCGCCAGGTGAGAGAAGTTTCTATGGGAGGGCCAGGGAAGGGCCAGAGTTGAGGAAACACCCCGGGGAGAAGCGGCTCTGATGTGCGGAGGGGCAGAGTATAGTGGTGCCCCCAGCTGCCTTCATAGGCAGCCACTGGGGGGAGGCTTCGGAGCAGGGATGCTGAGGCTGACTCCGGGAGGCAGTGGTGGGGCTGGCAGGGGCAGGGAGAGTGATTCCTCCCTTCCAGAGCACTGTCCCGGCAGGGCCACATCCGTAGGGACACCAAGCTGAGCCCCGTTTAGAAAGAGCTTTCCAGCAGCCAGGCGCCCGCCGTGGAAGCAGGCAGGCCCAGACGGCGGTGCGGAGATTCCGCTCTTCCTCTGGGCTGGCACCATCGTGGCTCGGGGACCTTGCAGGGGGCACAGCTGCCCTTCGGCGCTCGCTCACCTTCACGGGCACCATTCCAGAGTCCAAACTGTTTTATTAAATCCCCACCACACCCCATTCAGCCGACCGTCACCTTCTTACTTCACAGTTGAGGAACTGGGTAGAGACGCTGGCCCAAGCGCACCCAGCACAGAGAAGAGGCGCTGAGTGTGACTTCGGAGCCTCACAGGGCCAGGCTGTCCCACCGGAGACTCCCGGAAGCGGAGGTGGTGAACCAGGACTGGGAGGCACCTTCCAGATGAGCTGGGACTGTGGCTCCTTTCTCAGAATTCAGGGGAGCCGTGGACGTGGATGGGAAGCTGTTTCATGTTGATGAGTAGAGTCTATAACCAGAATTTATCCTTTCCTTTAACCATGAACAGTGGGCACCTCTGTCCCGGGGTATCAGCCTGTGCCTGTGACGGTGACACCAGAGAGCTGCCCCAGGGCCACGTTTTGGGGGACCCAAGTGGCCACACCTTGGGAGGGTCCAGGGCACCACGACAGACGCCCCTCGCCTTCCACGCACCAACATCTCAGAACGCTGTTCTCAGTCCCACCGCTTTAATTCAGACCTCATGAAAAGCACTCCCTGCCCAGAACGTCTTCACAGGGTAGCAACTCTATTTTGGTAAAATGGGTTTCCTTTGTAATTCTGTGAACTCATTTATTTACTAGATGCCCCAGGAGCCCACACACCAGGAAGGTGAAGACCCCAATTCCAGCTCAGGGCTCTCGTTGGGGTGTCTCCAGCCTGTGCCTCGCTGCTTCACCTGGGCGGCCTTGAACAGCCCCTCCCTCTGTGTCTCACCCCAACTGTCCACACCGTATTCAGGACCAGGAAGTTAAGGCAGGACATGGCCAGTCATTCCTCTCTCCAGGCTTTGTGACGGGATGGCACCCTCGTGGGCCTCCTCCCTCCTCTGTAAAGTGGGCTGATATGAGACTTACATAAAACCGTATTTCCGCTTATTCACTGATCCACCTATCCACCCATCCACCCCTCCATCTCCATCTACCCACTCAGCTATTCACCCATGTATCCACCACCCACCCATTCACCCATCTCTCTATCCATCCACCCACCCACCCATTCATTCACCCATCCACCCATCCACCTATCTGTTCATTCATCAATCTATTCATTCGTCTGTTTATCCAGTGGTAAAGGGTGTGTGTTGGGGGGATCCTATGTGCTAGAAGAGAAAGCAAACGTAGGACACACTCCCTGAAGGGAAGGCCTCCTCGCCCACTCCCACCTGGTGCCATCTTCCCGCTGCCTCCTCCAGCTCTCTGGCCATCCTGCAGATTCACCACGGCCTGCCTTAGGGCCTCTCTGCCTGGAGGACACGGTCCCTCCCCAGGGTGAGTTTCCCCAGCTGCAGGCTGCCCATACTGGGGACGTGTTGATGGAATGCGTCTTCCATAGTCCCCAGAGGCCAGGACCCGGGGGCTGTCTGAGACACCAGCAGAATCCCAGTGTGGGCCCTAACAGGTCTTTTAGGAAGGCAGGAAAGGCCCCTTCTGCCCCGCAGGGGGCTCCGGGAGAAGCTGTGCCCCTCCTGCTGCCTCCACCTCTGCAGCCACTTCCTCCCTCGCCCCTTATCTCCCGGCCCGGCTCTGAAAGCCACAGCCAACGTCTGCTTCCCCACAAGCACCAACTGCCCGGCCTGGGGGAGAGGAGGCGGGGAGCAGGGAGCAGCACGCACAGACAGGTGGCCGCCAATGTTGGGGGCAGCTACTGTCCCCCCACTCGTGGCAAATTTCTTCTCTTTCCAACCCCACCTCCGCAAGACTCCCTGGTTAGAACACAGGCAGGACAGGCCGGGCGGGAGCTCAGGCCTCATGGCACTGTCCCATCTGCGGGTAGGGCGGGGGTGGTGCAGGTGCAGGCCTGGAACATCTGCCTCAGGGCTGGGGGGGCTGCCTGTCTCCTACCCCAGCAGGGAAGCCACGGGCCCCAGCCAGGTTGCTGTCCGGCTGCCTCAGTGTCGGGGCTGCACCTCCCTGAGAACCTCTGCACACGGCGGGGAAACAGGCACCCATGGACACACGAGCCGTGTGATCACGGCAGCCCTGGCCTGTGAGGGCCCTTCAGTCCTCTGAGCAGAAAGGCTACAGGAGCTGGGGCTGGAACACATGAGGAAACCAGGGGGGTCAGGGGCCCAGACCCTTCTGCCAAAGAACAGAAGGGGACATGGGGACCCACGGGGACCCCAGGCTGGCAGGAAGGTCCCCTCTAGCCTGAGTTCTGGGGACCCAGAGGCCCACCACCCCTCGCAGGGGAGGCCTGGGCGGGCCTTGCACCCCAGCAGGAATGAACACACCCCGACTCTAAGAGGGACATGGTCCCAGGAATGCAGCTGACACCCGAACACCAGGACAGGGACACCCGGGACATCTGCAGACCGTGTGGAGGAGTCAGCTTTGACTGAGTCCTGTTTGAATTATTAGCTGTGTGCAGACATGACCTAAAAATCAAATCAAATCAAATCAAAATAGCTCGAACGCCCGTGAACCAGCCGAGTCTGCGGACTCCACACCTCTGGTCTGAGGCCACGAAGCCTCCAGCCATGGCAGCCGAAACACCACCCACCCAGGCCTCAGGGCCGGCGGAGGTCACGGTCCCCTCCCGGGAAGCCCCTCTTGCCCTGACAGTTCTCGGGGCCTTTCAGAGAGTGGCTTTTTCCCAGCATCTGGGATGTGCCTCACTCTCACCCAACGGCCACTCCAAAGGGGTTCTGGGACTCTCCCTGGGGTCTGAGTGGTCCCAGGGGGGCTCTGAGGTGGCTTCGGGAATTTCTCAGACTGGAGGAGCCACCCACCCTGACCCCCAGCAAACTCCAGGATGCGGGGTAGTGTGGCCGAGCTGCCAGGCTGCCCCCCGGAGGCCATAGGGAGGTGGGGTGACAGTCTCTCCAAGGCCCCCCCGGAGGCCCGGAGCCCCATACAGGGGGCCAAGCAGAGAGAGAGGGTGTCCTTCCCAGCAGGTGGGAGGACTGTGAGGGCAGGTGGGGGCCCTAGAACCACCAGCAGCTGGTCAGAGGCCCCATCCGCCAAGGTCCCAGGAACACGGGCAGGGTGGGCCCCGGAGCGGGCTGATGTCAAAGGGGTGCTGGAAAGTGCGGCTGGGGCAGGCGGAGAGGGGGAGACCCCGGGCAGCCCCGGCTGAAGGAAGGGCCAAGCCTCGGTGGGAAGAGGGGCGGGGAGCAGGCTGGGGCCTCCGGGATGCAGCTGCCCTCACGGCCGCCCTGGGCCGAGGAGACGCATGCCCAGCAGCCATGCCGTAGGGCTCGAGGTGGGTGGGACGTCACCAGGGCTGCCGCTGGGAGGAGGAAGTTGTTGGAAAGTCAGACCGGAATGGCCCGAGGGAAGGCCGGGCAGGCCAGGGCCCCAGATGGTTCCTGTCAGGGAAGTCGCGGGCGCAGCTGCAGGCCCCGGCCCGGCATTATCACGGGGACACAGCTGGCTGCCTCACCCACAGGCTGCAGGGAGACCTTCCCCCGCCTGCAGCCCCAGGCCCGCCCCGAGTCACATGAGCCCCGGGGCTCCCACCCCCTCCCCAGGGCTGAGGACACCCAGTCGGCAGCCAGCAGGCCCCGGCTTTCCAGGGACAGAGGCCCAACTCCAGGACATCCCAGCTGGCCCAGCCCCTCCTCCTTCGCTTGAGGCCCCCGGAGGTCGGGAAAGGCGGTCCCGGAAGAGGCCTGTCCTGGGCCCCAGGCCGGCCCCTGAGCGTGGCCCTCCCCATGCCGGCTCCGAGACTGAGGGACAGGTTGGCTGGTTCAGCCTCGGGGTCCACCTGCCGCTCCATGTCGCAGACGCACCCCGTGCTGGAGAGCGGCCTCCTGGCATCTGCCGGCTGCTCAGCTCCCCGGGGTCCCAGGAAGGGCGGCCCAGGTAAGAGGCTGTGGGGGAAGGCGGCGGGGGTGGGGGCAGGGGGGCAGCGGCAGGTGCTGGGGCTGTGACTCCTTCGAGCCTTGGGTCTGCCCAGCTGTTGACAGCGCCGCAGGGGCGGCCCTGTTGACTCACCTCAAATATCAGCCGGCCGCCCCACAGGCAGGTCCCGCACAGCTGGGGCAGGTGGGCTGGTGAGGATGTGGCAGGTGCCACCCGGGAGCCCCGGCCCCACCCAGACGCAGATGCTGGAGGCCAGGCTGCTCAGCCCCGTCATGGGATGGCGGCGGGGGGCTGCGGCCAGGAGGTGATTCGGGTCCTGCAAAGAGACCCCTTCCCCTCCTGGGATGTCCAGGCGCGACGCCTCACAGTAGGCTGGATGAGGAAACTGAGGCCAGAGGAGAGGGCGCAGGCCCAAGGCTCTGTGAGAAGGAAATGGACCCTACCCCGGGCCCCTGTCGGAGAAACAATTCCTGCCAGAGCAGTGGGGGTTGGCAGGGAAGCTGGGCCTGTACCCTCCCGGGGGCTTCGGGCTCTGCAAGGGGTCCAGCAGCCTCCAGCTGTCGCTGACACCCCCATCCCAGCCTGCAAAGTTCCAGGACGCTGGGGTGCAGCTGCAGGCTGGTGGCCCTGTTCCCCAGCGGCACTGGTGGTCATGCTCCCAGTGGCCTTCGGAACCTTCCAGAGCTCGAAGTCTCCCATCTCTCGGGGCTGTCGCTGCAGTCATGTCCAGGGTCTGCCTGCACCCCTGACACACACACAGAACCAGGACCCAGGGGTGTCCCTATCTCTGGGGACCGCTTTCCCTGAGGTCCTGGCGGCTGCTGTGCGAGGCTGTTCCCACCTGCAGGTGCCCATGGGGCCCCAGGGCTGCCCCCCATGAGGGACCCAGCCAAGAACAGGAACATCCCAAACCCAGGCACCTGGCGTGCAAAGGCCGGACCTCACCACGGCCACTGCCGCGGCTGGGTTCTCCCAAGGGGTGACAGAGCCGCCTCCCAGGCATCACCTACTCACCGCTCTGGCTTACGCCACCCCACCTCTCTGAAGCAGCTGTCTGTCCCCTGGCGCTGAGTGGCCCTGGGCCAGGTCCTTCCCCCCTGGGCCTCAGTTTCCTTATGGTTCAGGCCCTTCCCACCTGCTTCCCATGCGGAAGCAGTTTCTCACCTGTGGGGAGCGGGGCGGGCTCTGAGGTGCATGGGGAGCAGCGGCTTTGTTAGGGCTGGGAGTCTACTGTGGAGGGGGTGAGGGCCAGCAGTCGGCCCCGTGCCTGAGTCGTGTGAGGGGCTGGTGGCTAGAGGCATGAAACAGAGGGTCGGGGTGGCCTCCAACAGCGTATCCAGCCACCGTGCCCACCCCCCAGGGAGCCCCTGCTTAGGGGCTTCAGTGTGAGGAGGGAGCAGATTCTCCCCTGGGTGGGGGTCCCACACCTGCCTTTTAGGGGCTTCGGTCCCTGCAAACACCACCCCTATTGCAGGGTGCCCACGGGACAGTCTTAGCCACACCAAGCAGCAGAGATCCACATGAATACCAGAGCATGGGGTTCCTCATTTTGCACTTCCAGGGCCCCGTAAGGCTCCCTGCGGAACAGATGTGGGGGCCCTGTGAGGCCAGAGAGCCCCAGCATGCAGCCTTGCGGGCTGGATGAGCAGGGGCCTGGGGGCCATGTGAACTGCGGGGGTCCTGGACGGGCCTGTGGGCCCCTCAGCCCCTCTGTGTGGATCTCAAGGACACAGGCCGCCCAAGAGTCCTTAAAACCTGGGAGGCCTGAAAGCAGATGAACTGGCTCTCAACTGTGAGAACAGTCACGTTGTCAAAGCTGAAGTGGGAGAACCTGCCTTCAGAACAAAGGCTCATTAAACAGGGCTGTGCTGCCGATTCCGCAGCGAGGGGAGGGGGTCTGTGTGCCGCGTGTGGGGAGGACCGCGGCCCTGTGCTCTGCGGATGGCGTCGGGGGCCCAGGTGTAAGCAATCAGAAGATGGCCACGGAGCACGATGCCGCCGCGTCTGTGCCTTCAGCAGCCCCCTCCAGACGGAGGATCCGGATCCTCACCGACCCCTTGACCCAGTGGTGCAGCCGGAAGCCCTTAAGACCAGTGCTTGCCGCCCTGGGTTTTCGAGGCACCGGCTGTGTGTGCTCAGAGCTGTGCAGGCTCTCGCCGCCTTGTCCCCACAAGCCCACTTTGCAGATGAAGTCAGAATGATGACCTGACTGCCCCAGGAGACGCGGTCGGAACCAGGGTCACCCAAGGAGGGTGCCGGGGACAGAGACGTTGAAATCCACTTGGTGAGTGTAGGCTAGGCAGAGAAGGCTCAGTGCCATGTGCTGGGGCCTCCCTGGGGGAGAAACTGAGTCAGGCCTGCCTGGTATCACCTTAGAGGGCGATGTGAGGTCTAGGTGGCAGGTTTCAGTGTAAGTGCAGGTGGGAGGTGCTGAGTGCCATCAGCAGAGGGGTCCAGAACCCCTGGAGTGTGCAGGTGTGGTGGGGACCAGGCAAGGCGGGTGGGCGTCATGGGAACTGGGCAGATGGGGATGCTGTGAAGGCACTGTTCATGCAGGAAGCTTGAGCCCTGGCCACAGCCCTATACTTGGGCCACCTAGCACTGGGGTCACATCCAGAGCATGCATCCAGCCTGGGTTCCTCCACCCCACCTTGCCCTGGGACTGGACTTCAGTGCCACTCACCTCCCTCCATCCTTCTCCTCAAGTGCCCTATGGAATGTTCTGGGTCTGGAATGTTCTGGGTCCTGGATGTTCTGGGTCTGGAACATTCTGGGTCAGGAATGTTCTGGGTCCTGAATATTCTGGGTTTGGAATGTTCTGGGTCTGGAATGTTCTGGGTTTGGAAGGTTCTGGGTCTGGAAGGTTCTGGATCTGGAAAGTTCTGGGTCCGGAACATTCTGGGTCTGGAAGATTCTGGGTCTGGAAGGTTCTGAGTTCTGGGTTTGGAATGTTCTGGGTCTGGAAGATTCTGGGTCTGGAAGGTTCTGAGTTCTGGGTTTGGAAGGTTCTGGGTTTGGAAGGTTCTGGGTCTGGAATGTCCTGGGTCTGGAATGTCCTGGGTCTGGAAGGTTCTGGGTCTGGAAGGTTCTGGATCTGGAAAGTTCTGGATCTGCAACATTCTGGGTCTGGAAGGTTCTGAGTTCTGGGTTTGGAAGGTTCTGGGTTTGGAAGGTTCTGGGTTTGGAATGTTCTGGGTTTCGAAGGTTCTGGGTCTGGAATGTCCTGGGTCTGGAATGTCCTGGGTCTGGAAGGTTCTGGGTCTGGAAGAGTCTGGGTTTCGAATGTTCTGGGTCTGGAAGGTTCTGGGTCTGGAAAGTTCTGGGTTTCGAATGTTCTGGGTCTGGAATGTCCTAGGTCTGAAAAGTTCTGGGTTTCAAATGTCCTGGGTCTGGAAGGTCCTGGGTCTGGAACGTCCTGGGTCTGAAATGTCTTGTGTCTGGAAGGTTCTGGGTCTGGAATGTCCTGTGTCTGGAAGGTTCTGGGTCTGGAATGTCCTGTGTCTGGAAGGTTCTGGGTCTGGAATGTCCTGGGTCTGGAAGGTTCTGGGTCTAGAATGTCCTGGGTCTGGAAAGTTCTGGGTCTGGAGTGCCCTTCCTGGTGTTTCTGTCACCTGGGGCTGCAGTAAGGACAGGCCATGACTGGGTTGGGGCTCAGAACCACATAGGCTTCTCCTCTCACAGCACCGCAGGCGGGAAGTGCAAAACTGAGGCACCCAAGAGCCGCCTCCCCAGATCCCCCTAGCCCCAGGTGTTCCTGGGCTCTGGCCGCCGTGCCACAGCCTCCGCTTCTGTCTTCCCAAGGCCTTCTCCTCCCTCCCAAATCTTCCTCTGCCTCCTTCTTCTAAGGCCCAGTCCACTCCAGGCCAGACCTCGGGCCACCCCTCTGCACTCCAGGTGACGGGACTCAGGGAGGGGCTGGAGAGGCTGCAGGCAGCCAGGTTACGGGAGGCACCCGCCATGGGGGTGCAGTGGGAGGGGACAGTGGACATGAGTAGCTCAGCGGCCTCAGCCGAAATCTTCCACCAACCGCCGGCCGGTGTTTGCTGGGCTATGGAGCCGGCGATCATGCGCTGCTCAGGCCGGGTGTCCGAGGGCTCCGGCCAGAGGCAGGGAGGTCAGTGTGTGTGTGGCAGGACTTCCAACATCTGAGGCCGTCAGACCCGCGTCTGTGAACACCGTGCCGTCACAGCCGTCCTGCCAAGGGCCCCAGCACCCTCAGACCTCACCTCCCACCTCCTGTTCTCCCTTTTGTTGACTGCATGGTGTTGGGGGGCTCCATGTTGAGGAGACAGCCCCGAGTGCTGCTGTTACTGCTATTCACAGTAGAAGATACTGAGGTTCTGAGAGGCACCCAGCAGGCTCTGCTGAGCCTCTATGGGGCAGAGGCCGATGGGCTGGAGATGTGAGGATCTAGCTGCTGTGAAGTCAGACGGACTGTAGAGTCCAGGCTCAGGCTCAGGCTCAGTGGGTAGCTTGCCCTGGAGCCGCTGCTGGGTTTGTCGTGGTGGGAAGCCAGCAGCAGCACAAGGGGACGGGGTGGCCAGCGTGTAGACGGCTCCATGAGGGACGCTTTACGAAGATCTGGCAGAAGCGGGAGAGTGCAGAGCTCTGGGGCCAGAGAGTGAGGAGGATGGAGAAGCCAGGAGAGGAGGGCAGAGGGGGCATCCTCAGGGGTACGAAGTTCTCAGGAACGTGGACAGCAGGACGTCTGACCTCCCCCGCCATCTCCCCACTGGACGCTTCGCTGGGGCAGAGCAGGGGCAGGGGCTCCACCCCCGCCACCGCGTGTCCTCGCTGCCAGGTGCAGCCAGCTCTCCCGGCCCAGTAAGTACCCCTAGTCCCTCCCAGTCCACATGGCACTGCCCCCCTGGGGTCTCAGCGGTTGCTGGAATGCTCCGCTCCTTCCCCCAGAGCAGCCTATCCCGCACACACACAGACAGCAACCAGCCACGTCCTCCTGTCCAGCAGGAAGGCCTCGATTTGGCACCTAGTAGGACAGG